AAACGATCAGTGGCAATGGTAAATGGTAAAGGAGAAGCCGAGAAGCTGTGACATTGTGACGTTATCAGTGCGTGGCACGCTTTATACTCAGTTATCAGGATTCCTGGAATGGAACTAGTGAGTTGCGACTCTGATTGGTCGCCCGTTTCAGCTGCACCATCCCACGCCGGCGCCTCCTTCTCATGGACCTCTTTATCATCTCGCGTGCCCCGTCGATGACTAACTAGGCAAAGTTAGGGACTTGCCGAATCGAGGACTGTCGACAATATAACAGTCACTGCATCGAAGGAATGCAGGTCATTGGGACCACAAAGAGATTAATGATGGGACTCTCTGGTCTTACTCAGTCCCATTCCGGAAAGCCCTACACCCATGAACTCTATTCAAAATCATAGTGATTTCTGAATGTTCAGAGAATGAGTTGCTGAGATCGCCGATTCACAAATTTTATCTTACCTTATTTTCTTAATCCTGTCAGATCTCTTATTTCTCACACGGGTCTGGTACCGTGTGAAAATGGAAGGGCCGGTTGATCTGGACGGGTATCGATCCGTCGTGATATGATTGGAGGACCATGCGCCAGCTAACGTCACAACTTGGCATTGCCTCAGCTCGACCCATAATTCAGTGAATCTTTGATTTGAACTATGAGATTGGAATTGGCAGAGAATTCATTCCCACGGTTGTGATGGGACGAGTCTGAAAGGAAGGAACGTCAGTCCATGGATACCATTGTTCACTTTGTGTGCAATCTCAGGTTCTATTATTCCGCTGTGACGAGATTGACCGTAAGACGTAGCGTAGCTACCTATCCAACTACTATCGTGCTGACTCCTTTTTTGTTAACTCAGATTTGCATGGATTGGATAGCATAAATGGGTCGTTAAGAGCTGAGTTCTCTTTTTTCGAGTCTCATTGTTAGTTGTAATAGAGTTTGAGCTTATATGTAGAAACACCGCTGTAAAGGGTGCGTCCAATCAATTTTCTGACCGCATTAGTCCCACAATAATTCCTTATCGAAATTCCTCAATGTGGCCCCTATCATTAAGAAGTTCAATTCGAATAATGAATTGTCTTGACAAGCTGAAGTACTCCCTTCCGACTTACTTGCAGGATGATTCTCAGTATTCTAAGGTGAAGGTTGCCGTAGGTGCGATTGAGGAAGTCTATCAAATGTTCCGCGTTATTCCCAAGTGCAATCGTCTGGTGTCTTGCCTTAAAGACACAGATCCGAAAAAATGATTTCTGGAAATCCCCAATAGGATGGGTTCGAGGCCCCTCCTGATACTATATGTGCCGATGTCAGGTCGAGAAACGCTCTAGTCAGGGCACAATAAGGGGCCAGACATTGTACCGTGTGAATGCCACACTCACAGCGACGAGTCTCGACGGTGTTGTAGAGGCCGCACTACCTCGAGGGACTCCCATGCTGGAAGTACGAACAACTTATCATGGGCCATGGCGAAAGTGAAAAGCAGCTTTGGACAATTTGGATTTGATTTAGTCAGCTATTAGCACAATTGTAACGAATGAAATCTAGTCCGGATACCCTTTCCATGTCATTTCCGCCATAGTAATCTCGTACAACCGCTATTTCCACCTCTATTTAGGAAAGTCTTATTTCTTGCGGAGAGTTCGGATTCTCTCTCACTCTTCGTCACTAATCTAATTCAACACTTCCTCTTTTCAAATCAAAATGGGTAGCTCAAAATTATCGTGAACTGTGCCTTTTAGTAAAGTTGAACTCCCTTCATACTCACCCACAGAGTTACTGCCTACCCGTCCCATATCGCTGCTGGGCCGTTCGATTGATACATGTGATCGGAAGAAATGTCTTTCTCTAAACTTTTTCTTTTGCTTTGCTACGATTATAATGTTATCCTCTTCATAAAATTAGCAACTGAGAAGACCTAACTTACAAGATAAAGAATTGTGCGAACCGTAGCAGACTTCAAATTCTCTCCTAAGTCCAATCATATCTTTCATGCCGCAAGCTGGATTAGGCGCCTTTCACAGGATTGATCGATGTTAAAAAACGTCTTTCTTCCCGATTTATGTAACGTTACTGATCCCTTCGACTGGGAAACCGCTTGACTGATAAAACCGAAGTACAATCCAAAAGGAATCGAAGGAGACACGTTGCGTTCGTATCGATCATCGACAAGACCACCAAGAGATCAGGTGAACCTTGGCGAATGGCAAAGAAAGAGTTTTACAGCGTTCCGCATTTCCGGCAAGATTTCTTTGTAACTTGAATGAAAGAATGACCATCTTGGGTTCGTCACATTGTAGTTCCCAGATAGCAGAAGTCACAAATTTTAATGGGAACTACGATTGACGTTCTAAATATCTCTAGTTATTTATAGATTTTATAATGAATTTTATGAATTTTTTAAGTTTTTTCACATTCCTTTCAATTAACTTTCAAATTTTATAATAATCATGAATTTTTATGCTACGGTTTACATTTGCGTCCGTCACACTCTTCTGCCCCTCCTCTTTATGATGAGCACATGCTGAATGCGCTGTTTATCTGAGGGTTTGTGCGAAATAAATTTGAACTACGCCTTTTTCATACCACTGGTAAGGTGGTTTTAATTAATTCATTCATTATTTTATTCATGCTATTATATAGATTGCTACATAGTTATGAGAGCTGCCTGGCCCTCTGGTGGAAAGGAGAAGGGATTTCTCCTCAGGGCTGCCACTGTAACCCACATTCGTAGATGCTTGATGCTATATACCTTGACGATTCGCACCAGAAAATGTCATATAAGCTTTATTTGAAGAAAAAAAAACGAGTACAACAATATGAACAGCAATGTACAACCATAAAAGAGGAGATCGAGAGCCGAGAGGATCGCCCTAGCTCACCTACATCGAGCCACACAGGGGTCTGGCCCTCATCTAAGCCTCAGGAAAGAGACGGAGCGGCTACATTATGATATACGGAGCAATCCTAAATTTAATACGGCAGTAACATGCTAGCAGTAGAGAAAGGACAGAAAGAGAGACAGGCAGATGTTGACGTTCAGGGAATGGCCGAACACGGAAACATTTGCGAATTGCCAAAACAACCAGAAGACAAAGACATAAAAAGAAAACAGCCCGTAAGCAAGTATGTACAAACTCGTCTCGAAAGACTAAGCGGCAAGAAAAATGAGAAAGCGGAGTGAACAAATTCGGAACTGAACCCAATCCGGTAAAGCTTTGAGCAGAGGAGACCGATTGCTGATGGGATTGTAGCTTCTTTCTCTTACTTCCGTTTCGATCGAATCCTGGATTGACTCTTTGACTTCCTCTGAGACGGTGGGCAGAATGAGCTGGAAGAGAGATGGGATTGAGAAAGGGTCGCCGAGAATTGAAGCTTCCATACTAACCTTTCCGTTTTCGTAGCACTTAGCATCCTTCTGGTGTTGGCATGTTCCGCATGAACGGCGGCAGTTCTCGTTCATGAAGTTTTCTGCTTCACCGCTGCACATTCCTCGTACCTTGAACTCCTTGCACATCGGGTGAAGATCTTGGCAATCAGCTGAAAGTTTGGTGAAAATTGATTGAATAGAAGGGAAAAATCAAAAAAAAAATTCTCAGACGAGTGACGGAATCGACTTCCCAAACAAAGGGGCGCTCACTATTTGAGGTGTTGAAGGATGGCGTACAGACTCCACAACTGACTCCACAGTACACTCCCATGTATTCGGCCTGAGCGCTGCACAATCCTTGGTTGGCCCAGGCCGTACAGCAGGGCGACCTAAAATGACCGGTCATGAGAGCAGAAGACGTCGGGGCCAGCAGAAGCGGAACTCATGTTCGTTGCCCTGCCCTCTTCCAATTGAGTTCAAAAGAACATACCTGTTGTAGCAGTTTCGGAACAGTGGCGCTACCATCTTCACTGGTTTTGGTTGTGGTGCATCCTCTTGCTCTCCCTGTTCAGCGGTTGAAATGAGACCCAAAGTGAGCGACGAGTTCACGGCTTTCACGTTTTTCAAGATTTTTGAAGCCCAGGCACGGTTTCCTCCCTGGAAGAGTGGTTGAATCACTTGTCTTTTGCGGATGCGGGCTTCCTAAGAACTCACAGGGATACATCGTCCCCACCAGCATCGTCCGCCATAGCAAACGTCGAAGTTTTCGAATCCCATACAGTTGCCGTTCATCTTTACCTTAGAGACGCAGTGTGGGTAACTGGAAAAAGTCCTTCGGTCAGCTGAACCTAAAGTCTTCTTCACGGAGAACGTACCCTCTTGTGTCACAGAACAAGTACGGTGAACCACAGTTTGGATTCTGAAGCGAACAGCTGGGTCGAGGCGCGTAGCGGTACATTTGATCAGTGTACGAGTTGGACAGACCTAAAAGCCTATTACTTAAGTTTTGAGGAAAAGATCAAGCTCATCTTTGTACCTACCATCTCTGTTTGCTAAGTAAGGGAAAGGACGCATGTAAGCCCAGCTGAAGTGAAGTTGGTTGGTGCAGTAACCGTTATCGGCTGAGTACGCCTAAATGCACGAATACGACTCCATAGATGATTCTGGCTGAAAACGTCCTGTAGATGGGGGTATTTACTGCTGCTTACCACTTCTCTAAGCCATCTCGGTTGTTTCAGCTGACGCCATAGTTCCCACAGATAATCGACGAAGGCGTGATGCATGAAGAAGACTGGCTGAAGTCGAAGATGAGAATCATAACAAGAGGAAAAGGAAGGCTCTCTGGGCATGGAACTTACTTCGTTTGCCGAGGTACTGGGTGGTTTCATGTCTCCTCCGATCCACAGATGTACGTTTGAGTGAATGTACTCGATAGCCCCGTAGTTGTTCGGATAAGGACAACCTGAATGGTCAGAGTAAGAAGTATTTTGTAGGTTGAAGAAGAGCTGCTATCTTACGTCTGCCAAACGAACCCATCAAGCCCCTTCTCCCTTGGAATTATATCAGCAGAATTTAATGAAAGGCCTAGATCTCTCCACCCTTTTGTATCTGACATTCCTGCGTCTAAGGTTAGGATGGAATTTGAGAGTGTTTTCTCATTTTTTTATGTTTTATGTGCTCCTCTTTGAGGGGCCTTCTGCCTATGATGGGTTCCACTGTAGAAGCTCTTTTAGAAGTTTTGGGATAGGAATGAAATAGGTACGGTAAGGTTAGATAGTAACAGGAATCGTATTGATTCGATTATGACTTGTTGTTAATTATGCCTCTGCACGAGTCACTTTTCCTTCCAAAATAAATAGTAGTCCTTCTATGTCGTCATGTTCTCAACGTCAGCTGCCCCCTATAAAGCGTTTGGCTAGTTAGCTCAGGAGTTTTGTGCAGAAAGCGAGGTCATGGTGTTGTAAAAATTTCAGTCGTACTTAATGATTGTCATTTTTTCATTTTTCCTAGTAATGTATCATTTCGTGACGTAATCGGCGAATGAGCGTTAGAAAAAGGCCGAAATTACGGCTCACAATTGGTTTGTCTACAAATTCTTCGAAATTACACTAAGCCATTCTACTCGGTGGTCTCACACACACACAAAACAGCTTTGAACCCCGTAACCCCTCCCTTCAGTGGGTCAGGTTTTTCCTATTGTGTGTACAATCGATTCATAAATAGTCGAGAAGTGAGTTTTTTGCTCGTCACGGGTGGGTGACCTCGAGGGACAGACAGCTAACAAAGGTTCTTTCACCACGCCCGAGGTCATCCACCCAGAGCGGAATGTTCTTTCACCACGCCCGAGGTCATCCACCCAGAGCGGAATGAAGCGGGAAGCTGGTCGAGTTGTAAAGGTCGCACTTCAATAGCGGTCGCTTACCTGATGATGCGAAAATATTTTGAACTACCTAGACGAGTTGCCACCCCGCAAGATATCAAGGGTTTGCCCCGTTACTTCCCATCAAACATCCGGTTACTCACCCATCATTGGAGCCGTATAGGCTAGCACGTTCTCAATGGTGTCCTGTGCCACAACGTTGTTCACCTGGTTCTCGTTGATCAAAGAGCCTTCACGACCGAGATTTCTGGAATTTAACAGGATTCGCTTGGATGTTGTGAGGGCGTAGAATTTTGAAGGCGGTTAGGGAACGTTGTTCACCTGGTTCTCGTTGATCAAAGAGCCTTCACGACCGAGATTTCTGGAATTTAACAGGATTCGCTTGGATGTTGTGAGGGCGTAGAATTTTGAAGGCGGTTAGGGACTTGCCTGAGAATCGTAGGACGTCCTTCCAGAGTTCTCCAGTAAGCGAATGGGCCTTGAACAACGTTTCCGTAGAAGTCAGTCTCGCCGGCAAACAAATTCGAGAAAAGAATCGAATCTCGTGGATCGGGAAGGTAACTGTCTAAGACGCTATCCCAGTAGGGAATCGACACTGATGGATCAACCATTCGGAGAGCAATTTCGAATCTAGAATCAGTGAATGATGTTGGGATAGAGGCAAAGAGCAAAGGCTGGTACCTCACCTCTTCAGGTATTCTCTATGCCATGGCAAGAAACCTGGTCCGGAGTGCGCTCCTGAACCCACTCCTACCTGAAAACCTCCTTTTAAAGACTTATTCAGCAAGACAAGAACTGGTAGAACTCACGTCAAAATGCTGCCTACTCATACGATCGTACTCTCCGTTGGCTTTTAACGTAGCCAAAGCTCGATGCCATCGGTTACGTTCGTCATCCGTCATCATACGATATTCTTTGCGGTAAGCCATTGTCAGAATGGCTCCATTTGACAGCACACAGTTACCTCCTTGCATTTGTCCCTGTAATCGACAGCGCTTAACTCGGAATTCGCTCCAGCCGCCATAAGCATTGAACTTACCGCGAAGAAGGGACATAGACAGCCGAGCGTCATGCAGTCATATGGGTGATAGGCGACTTGACCACGGGAGTTTGGAGGAACGGGAATCGGTGTCAGCCACTCAGGGACCGCAGGTCGTCGTGGTCCCTGTTGTTGCGGAGTTGTTTGTCGTGTTCGTGGTGTTGAACCCTGTTGCCCAGCTCGCCTTTGCGATGGTGTTGTGGGTGTTCGATTCCTAGCAGCCTGTCTGGCAAGTCGTCTCCTTGTCAGTCGGTCC